ATTTTTAACAACCACAGAGAGTCGGGACCTCAGTTTAACGTCTCATCCGAAAGACGCCGCTCACTGAGCAGTATAGCGTCCCCGTCACTATACTGGGGCATTAGGACCCACACAGACCGCAGGTTGGGTGCCCCCTGCTGGCCTCACTAACACCACTTCCGGCAGCAACCTAGCTTTCCCATGTGGTCTCCCATCCAGGTACTGAACGGGCGCAGCCCTGCTTAGCTTCAGTGGGCGACCATGTGAGAGTTGCAGAGAGCTAGCTGCCATTTACCTGATTACTTAACCATTATTTACCCATTTACCTGATTACTAGCCCTAAATTGCTCTCGTCCCAACTTTTTTGTACTGTGTTGCAGGTCTGACTGACAGGAAAGGAAGAATATTTACAAATAAAATGAAGTTGATCAGACAAAACATGAAATATTTGGTGTTCATATTGTCTGCATTGAAACACAAGTCAAAGTACATTTGGAAATCACTACTATATTTGTGTTTTTCTGATTTGGTGTACAATAATTAATGTTGCATGTGGGAAAGTCACTAAAATGCTTGATAAAATATACAATAGACCACCTAATTGTACTTAACTTGGCCTTTAACATGCAATTTCAGACTGAATAATCAAAAGTAGCATGGTAAACACTATAGGAACCGTTAAAGTGAACAAATGTGCCAATATAAAACCAACTTTCCTCTCAAAAATACAACACATCTGCTTACCTTTGACTCCAGGAGAGCGAGAAGAGCTGTCTCTGACCGCCGCCAGACTGATGGGCAGGACGCTGACAGTGAAAGTCTCTCTGGAGACCATCAGAAACCAGCAGCAGGAGGAGGCCTTGCAGAAAGCCATGAAGATGATAGATGAGATCACAGAGAAGGTTCTGGAGGATCTGCAGTCAGCCAGGACTCGTCTGGAGGCTCTGCATGCTGCGTGTGTTTCTGACGCACCGCCGGTGCCTGTGGATCAGAAGTTTCAGAGCGTGGTGATCAGCTGCGCTCTGGAGGACCAGAAGAAGATCAAGAGACGCCTGGAGACTCTCATCAGGAACATGGACAATGCGGAGAAGACCATTCAGATCATGGACAACCCGAAGGTGGATCTGTCCAAGCTCGCCAATGGAAAATAAGAGCTCACAGGTTCTGGAAGTACAGAAATTATTCAGCCTTGTTTGCCTGCCTTACTACATCCAATCAGCTCACAGTAAAAAAAAAACAAGCCACACCCACTGTTTTCTCATTTATTATTCAGTTTCTCTAGGAACTGCGTCACAATATGAAATAAAAACAGTCGCAGCTTCCGGTTTATGCGGACTTTAAGCCGCACAGGCGTCAAAATGATCGATTTTATGCCAAAAATGATTATAGTATTAAGTAAAAATCACACTCAGTTAAGACGTTTAGTAAATTTCTTACCATAAATATATCCAGACTTCATTTTTTATGGTATATGCATTGTTAAACACTTTATTTGGACAACTTTAAAGGTTTATTTACTTAGTATTTAGATTTTTTGTCAAATATTTGTATCAGTTAATCGTAACCATCCCGGGAAGCTTAATTATTCAGCTTTCAGATAAGCCATTAAACTCAATTTCTAAATAAAATTGACACTTATGACTGGTTTTGTGGTCTGGGGTCACAATTGAGTTCATTTATTAGACTTGATAAATAATAAAAGCAGCAATAAAATTTTTTAAACCATTTTTAAGGTCAATATTATTAGCCCTCTTAAGAAATGTTGTTTTTAAGTCCAAATATTGTCCAATGACTTTCCTAGTTATGCCTTTAATTGTCATATTGTCATACATACATATTTATATATGTGTGTGTGTGTGTGTGTGTGTGTGTGTGTGTGTGTGTGTGTGTGTGTGTGTGTGTGTGTGTGTGTGTGTGTGTAAATTTAAATTTAACATTACAGCAAATAATAGGTATTTTTAAAAACGTTTTTATTAAAGTATTTTAAGGCATGAACCAAACCAACTATCTGCAAGGAGAAACAACACTACAAGCTGTAATTAAAAGCAATGAAGTGTATGAAAATTAGACGAAAAGACAAATAAATCAGAATGAGCTTAACAACTTCAATGAGGAGATGAATTACAATCCCATGAAGCCAATGACACAACCACAATCATTAATACATAAATGTATATTATAAAGTTGTTGGAAGGTCAGTGCAAAACGTGTACACAATCAACCAATTACAAGAGTCAAAGGGATTGAGGAAGGAGGGGGCGGAGCTAAAGGCAAACCCATCTTTGATTGGTGGAAAGTCATAATTTCAGTATTAAAGAGGTTGTTCAGCCCAAAATGGCTTTCTTTTGAACAAAAAGAAGATATTGTGAAGAATGTTGGTAATCATTGACATCCATAGTTGAAGCTAGAATAGAATGCATAAGACTAGTCACTCGTATAGTTATAAATGGGAAAAGGTGTAACGGTCAACATGGCAAATTAAGCCCTGCCTTCTAGTACAGGAGCCAATCATTGATCAATTCAGACTGAGGATTCCGCGGGTGAGCGGCTTAATCTAGACGTGTGCTTTTATGCAGCTTCATTATGAATCCTCTGGGGTCAACAACACACAAGCAGAGGTGTTCTGCAGTCTACCACTGATGGCCTCTTGGTCGTATGCATATTTATTTTTCTTGTAACTATATATTGTATTTCTTTTCTATATATTTCTTCTAAGTTTTGAACTAACAGACAGAAAAGCTACAGATTTCATTAACTTCTCCGTGTGTTACTGATCTCTAACCCCTGATTATGCTTTTATGTTGTTGTCTTAATCACCATATGAAGCAATGTGAATAGTGTGTTCAGATCTGCGCACATGAATGTATTTCCGAGCGTTCGTCATGTGCTCGTCTAATGAGGGTGCTTGGCTCTCAGCATGATGGGAATTTCACGTTTGGCCGTCAGGTTTGTGTTTACAGCCTGCAACAGATCTGACAGGAGCAGCTGAGACAAACAAACTCATTACAGGACACACAGAAGCTGCATGGGTGCATTTGAAAACCACCGATTTTATGCCAAAAATGATTATAATATGAAGTGTCATGTGCCATTATGATATTTAATAAATTTCCTACCATAAATATTTCCACACTTTATTTTTGATTGCATTGTTAAACACTTTATTTGGACAACTTTGTGTGTGTACTGTGTATATTTATTATGTATATACACTTTTTTGATTATTAATTTTAATTAATAATAATAAAAATTCTGTTCATCAAGGCAGCATTTATCAAATGTACTTTTTTTAATTTGTTAAAAACTTTCAAAATTTATTTAAAAAAAAACTTCTTTCTTCTTTATGTAGTTTCAAATAAAATTACTACTCCAGTCTTTACTGCTTTTATTACTATTACCATTATTATTATTATTATTATTACCATTAATATTATTATTATTATTACTATTACCATTAATATTATTATTATTATTACTATTACCATTAATATTATTATTATTTATTATTAATATAATAATATTAACATTAATAATAATAATAATAACAACAATGTTATTCATAATAATAATAATATCTATAAAAATAAAATTTATAATAATAATAATAACAACAATAACATTATTAATAACATTAACAATAATAACATTAATAATAACAATAACATTAATAATAACAATAACAACAATAACATTAATAATAATAACATTAATAATAATAATAACAATAAGATCTATAATAATAATAATAATAATAACATTATTAAACCTAATAATAACAGCAGTAACATTATTGATAACATTAACAATAATAATAACATTAATAATATTAACAATAGCATTAATAATAATAATAACATTATTAATAATAATAATAATAACAATTACATCGATAATAATATTAACATTAATAATAATATTAACATTAATAATAATAACCTAAATAATAATAAGAATAATAATAGTAGTAAAAATAAAATAATAGTTATTAATATTAGAGGGATTTCTGAAGGATCATGTGACTGAAGGCTGAATTAATGAAGCCTAAAATTCATCTTTTAAATCACAGGAAAAAATTATTAAATTAAATGATAATCTGCTTTAAATCAGTTATTTTTTTAGTGCAATAACATTTCACAGTTGTCAAATGTGTACTGTATTTTTGATTAAATAAACGCAGCCTTGGTGAGCAGGAGAAGCTGATTTTAAAACAATTAAAATAAATTCTTTTGACCGCTAGTGTATATATATATATATATATATATATATATATATATATATATATATATATATATATATATATATATATATATATATATATATATATATATAAACAAAAAGTACACTCACTGAGCAATTTGTATCTCAATAAATATTTTAAAGGCAGTTTGATTTATAAAATGATATAGTTATAAAAATTTTATACTTCATTTCTTTGGCAAGACTGGAAATGAGAGAATGACAATGTAAAATTATCTGATTTCCCACTGAAATTTTGCTAATTAAATAAGCTAATTTAATAAAACAAATCTCTATAAAGCCTTTTAAAAGTGACTATATTATGGTTAAATTCTGTACTTGGACTCAAAAGAAGGTCGATTATTGCCTTTGTAAAACAGTTCCAACAGTTTTGTGATGAAACACACCGATGTCTGATAATAATACAACTTACATATGATACAGTATATCAGTGGCCAATCAGTGTATCAAGTGATGTAAATATAGCCATGACTCTCCAGTCTGCATTCTAGAATTGTTTTACACACACCTTTTCTGTAACATCGACATGATGTTTTGTATTAATGCATATATGAATGTGCCGACAGAAAGAAGAACAATCAAATCAAACCACTACAATAGATTGTTTATTTTGTCCTTTTTGTAACAGCCACTCAAAACAGAAACAGAAGAGAGTGAATCTGTGTGCAGGATTATGATTAAACACATCATGATATTAGAGAGCACTTGCACACTTCTGATGAGTGCTGGAGTACTCTCATCTACAGCAAACCCATGAGGACAACAGTAATGAGAAGAGTAAAGTGAGCAGCATTTCCAGAACTAAAGAAGCAGAAGACATGTTTCCCATTAGAAGCCATGAGTTCAGTTCTGACTATATGATAAGCAAGCTTTAACATGTTGAAGAGTGACAGCAGAGAGATAAAGTGCCTTTAGCCCACACTTTAAAAAATGATGGGTCGTGACCCAATGCTGGCTTAAGTTTTACAATTAAACTGAAATGACACTTTTAACTCGGAGGTTTGTTTTGTCCATATTTGACCAATACTGGGTCCATTTTTCCCATTAAATTAAAATGAAAATTTTTAACCCAGCGGTTGGTTTTGTCTATATTTCAACCAATAATGGGTTAATTTTTCCAATTACATTTAAACTACAATTTTAACTCAGCAGTTTGTCCATATTTGACCAATATTGGGTTCAGTTTTCCAATTGAAATGGCAGTTTTTAACTGAGCAGTTTGGTTTGTCCATATTTAACCCAACATTGAGTTCATTTTCCTCATTAAATTAAAATAAAAAAAAATTTAACCCAGCAGTTTGGTTTGTCCATATTTCAACCAACAATAAGTAAATTTTTCCAATCACATTTAAACTACAAGTTTAACTCACCAGTTTGTTTTGTCCATATTTGTCTAGCTTTTTGGGTTAATTTTTCCAATTAAAATGACACTTTTTAAACCAGCGGTTTAGTTTGTCCATATTTAACCCAATACTGGGTTAATTTTTCCTATAAAAATTTTAGTTTTTGATCCAGCGGTTTGGTTTAATCATATTTGACCCGACAATGGGTTTATTTTATTTTTTCATTTAAATGACACCTTTTAACACAGCAATTTGTTTTGTACATATTTGACCAATACTGGTATATTATTTCCAATTAAAATGACACTTTTTAACCCAGTGGTTTGGTTTGTCCCTATTTGACCCAACATTGGGTCCATTTTTCCCATTAAATAAATTTTTTTTTAACCCAGCGGTTGGTTTTGTCTATATTTCGACCAATAATGGGTTATTTTTTTCCAAAAAAAATAAAAAATAAATAAAAAAAATTAACTTTGCGGTTTGTTTTGTTCGTATTTGACCAATAATGGGTTATTTTTTTCCAAAAAAAAAATAAAAATAAATAAAAAAAATAATTTTACTTTGCAGTTTGTTTTGTCCATATTTGACTACCTTTTTGGGTTAATTTTTTCATTTAAAATGACACTTTTTAAACCAGCGGTTTGGTTTGTCCATATTTGACCCAATACTGGGTTAATTTTTCCTTTAAATATTTTAGTTTTTAATATAGCGGATTGGTTTGTCCATATTTGACCCAACAATGGGTTTATTTATTTTTTTGATTTAAATGACACCTTTTAACCCAGCAATTTGTTTTGTACATATTTGACCAATACTGGGTTAAATTTTCCAATTAAAATGACACTTTTTAACCCAGCGGTTTGGTTTGTCCCTATTTGACCCAATACTGGGTCCATTTTTCCCATTAAATTAAAATGAAAATTTTTAACCCAGTGGTTGGTTTTGTCTATATTTTGACCAATAATGGGATAATTTTTTCCAAAAAAATTAAAAATAAAATTTTTAGTTGGCGGTTTGTTTTATCCGTATTTGATCAATACTGGGATAATTTTTCAATTATAATAACACTTGTTTGTTTTTCTCTTTTTATATTGCTGCTGGTATCTGTGAGTTACCAAACAAATTTTGTTGTATAACTACAATGACGATAAAGGTTCTTTAATTTACTTTATGTTTTTACCCAGTGGTTTGGTTTGTCCATATTTGACCAATATTGGGTTCAGTTTTCCAATTGAAATGGCAGTTTTTAACTAAGCAGTGTGGTTTAACCATATTTAACCCAAAATTGAGTTCATTTTCCCCATTAAATTGGAATGAAACATTTTAACCCAGCAGTTTGATTTGTCCATATTTCATCAAATAATGGGTTAATATTTGCTATTAAAATAAAATGACAATTTTTAACCCAGCGGTTTGTTTTGTCTATATTTGACCACATGTTGGGTTAGTTTTCCCAATTAAATTTAAATTATACGTTTTAACTAAGAGGTTTGGTTAGTCCATATTTGATCAAATGTTGGGCTAATTTTCCAATTGAATTTAAATGGCACTTTTTAACCCAACATTGGGTTATGACAGCCCATCATATTTTATAGTGCACTGCAGCGTCAGCATGTTAATGTGAAAATGCACAATAATCCGCGCTGTAAACATGAAGACCGTGGCGGACCAGTACCGTCAGTCCACATTCAAACATTAATGCAAGGCATGCCATCGATGAAGAAATACAATCAATCAAATATTAAACCACATGTTTGCCAGGAGAAATCTTAAAATAAACCTGCTGAAGCTCCACATATTTACCTAGCAGGGATAGTAAACGATTACAGTCGATCCTCGGGGGTCTGTTCTTCACAACTCGAACAGACAAAACAGACCCCTGACTCACTTCTATTTTAGTTAAGTAACACAAACACAACTTTTCCTTATGGACTATATGATGAATCCCATTTATCACGTTATTTGCATCGGTTTGACGACTGCAAACCTTTATTTCCCCGAATGTTCAGTTGTGTGTTTCTCATGGCTTCAGTGGTTAAGGCTGGCAGACTTTGGGAGGCTAGTTTCAGTCATAAATGCTCCTCTAGAAACATTCGATTTCCACATATATGAAGAAGATACTCATGGAATGCTTTTGTTTTACTGTACATATATGAAACCTAATATTGTACTGAACGTAGGGGTGTGCGATGTTTGATATTGTTTCCCCCCCAATAATAATCATTTATATTTAGCTTAGTGTGGTTACGTGCTGGTCTTGGATGGTTTAGACCTGTCATGGATATGGCAGCATAACTCTCATAATAATAATAATAATAATGGACAATTCATTTGATCCTTCATTCAAATGATTCATTCAAAATAGCTGATTCATTAAGCATATGAATCACTGACTCAAATGATTCATTTAAAACAGCTGATTCATTAAGCAAATGGATCACTGACTCAAGTGATTCATTTAAAACAGCTGATTCATTAAGCAAATGGATCACTGACTCAAATTATTCATTTAAAACAGCTGATTCATAAAGCATATGAATCACTGACTCAAATGATTCATTTAAAACAGTTGATTCATAAAGCATATGAATCACTGACTCAAATGATTCATTTAAAACAGCTGATTCATCAAGCATATGAATCACTGACTCAAATGATTCATTTAAAACAGTTGATTCATAAAGCATATGAATCACTGACTCAAATGATTCATTTAAAACAGCTGATTCATTAAGCAAATGGATCACTGACTCAAGTGATTCATTTAAAACAGCTGATTCATTAAGCAAATGGATCGCTGACTAAAATGATTCATTTAAAACAGCTGATTCATTAAGCAAATGGATCACTGACTCAAATGATTCATTTAAAACAGCTGATTCATAAAGCATATGAATCACTGACTCAAATGATTCATTTAAAACAGCTGATTCATAAAGCATATGAATCACTGACTCAAATGATTCATTTAAAACAGCTGATTCATAAAGCATATGAATCACTGACTCAAATGATTTTTACATTTACAAGGTCCCCTTTAAAGGCGTTTGTTCAGTGTAGATGCATTGCACTTGGCCACTATAGAGCAGTATTCTGATAACCTTAACTTAATATTCATCATAATGTCATGCCTTTATTAGATGTTGACAGAAACTCCCTTAGAATGTTTCTACTTTCCCATCTGTAACAGATGTGCAGATGCAGAACTTCAAATAGAGCCTGTGATATTATATTAAAGCAAAATATGCAAGCAGCAGTATTGATTGACGCACACGGAAAATGTGTATAAGTGTGAAGGGCTGGGCCATATATTCAACATTCACTGTACTTTATGGATTTTATTGGAAATTGGACATGTTCTGGAATTTATTAGACAGAGTATGGGAGTGTTGTAGAGATGCTTTAATAACATCAGATTTAAAAAGACAGTTCACCCAAATACAATAGTTCTGGCATCATTTCTTCATCCTCCACTTGTTCTTGTTGGGGGTTACAAGGGATACAGCTGCAGCCGAAAGTTAACACGACTTATTTATATTATTTATAAAATTATCTATTAATTGTATTTTATTAATGTCTTCCTCTACCTTAATCTTAAACCAAACCATCACAGTATTGTAAAAACAGTAATTATACAGAGTATTATTCATATTATTTATTAAATTACCCATTATTGTATTTTATTAACATCTATGCCCACCCCGACCCTCACAGTAATGTAAAAACTGTAAATATTGTTGTACAATAACACAAAAATCCACAGCTGTATCCCTTCTAGACTTTACCTTTCTCTCTTCTGTTGAAAACAAAGGAGGATATACTGCTGGAAAAAGCAGATAATTACTTCTATTTGCATTCAACAGAAGACAGAAATTCAGAGAACCTCTTGAAATGATGAGGAAATGAAAATTTTGGAGTGAAATGTACCTTTAGAAGCATCATAATCTGTGCATTGCTATAAAAAAATCAGGATGAATCGACTTTAGTATTTTGTATGGACATAATTTCTAAGAGAAATGAATTTCCATGAAGTACAGAAGTCAGGTTTATGTGTGATTATAATGTTTAGGTCATTTTAATGATACCAACCAACTGTAAAACAATGAAAAACACATACATTCACACTTCCATAGTGTATTAACTTTTAAACTTTTGATATATTTTTATATTTCTATTAATTTAAGGGTCAAAAAGCAATAAAACAGTAAATTTATGTAAATAAATGCTGATGTTTATTACAAAAATCCTTGTAAACCGGATGCTGCTGCAGCGTTTAATTTCAGTATGATGATGTATTTCTGAAACTGAATATTGATGAGGGGCGGGGTTTATTGTTGGATCCTCATATTATGCTGGTAAAGGGGCGTGGCTAAGCATATTTCACCCCAAACTGACATCATCGGAGATGACTAGCAATGTGTGCAAGCAAAATAATCCTTGTAAATTTTGATTTGACCTTTATTTTGGTGCATATGAATAAAAATGGGTGGCGCAGTGGCTTAGCACTGTCACCTCACACAAAGAAGATCGCTGGTTTGAGTCCTGACCGGGTCAGTTGGTGTTTCTGTGTGGAGTTTGCATGTTCTCCCAGCGTTGGTGTGGGTTTTCTCCGGGTACTCTGGTTTCCCCCACAGTTCATGCGCTATAGGGGAACTGATGAACTAAATTGACTGTAGAATATGAGTGGGTGTGGGTGTTTCCCAGTACTGGGTTGGCAGCTGGAAGGGCATTCACTGTGCAAAACATATCCAGGATAAGTTGGCGGTTCATTCTGCTGTAGTGACCCCTAATGAACAAAGGGACTAATCCGAAAGAAAATGAATGAATGAAATTGGCCGTAGTGTATGTGTGTGTGTTTGAATGTGAGAGTCTATGGGAGTTCCTCAGTACTGGGTTGCAGCTGGAAGCGCATCCGCTGCATAAAACATATGCCGGAATAGTTGGTGGTTCATACCTCTGCGGTGACCTCAGAAATAGAGACTAAGCCGAAGGAAAATGAATGAAAATGATTCAATAGAATATCGTCCAGCCCTATAGCAGTACATATGTGATGTTTTACTCTGTATTATTTAACAAGTCGACCAAAAAAAACTAATAATGAATCCCACATTATTATTTTTATACTTCTATCTGTTGAAATTGGTGTTAAAATATAACGGTATCAGTTTTAGGATATTAATGCACATCACGGACGTTGATTTCAGAGGCGATGACTGATTATTTCATAAGCATTTAAAAATCTGACCATTTGCTAATGCTATTTACAAGTACATCGAGTTTAGAAACGTTTTGGCACGGTGTTTAGTGTTACTACATTTTTTTTTCATACAATTCATACAAAAATACCTATAAGAACGTATGGGCCGACAACATTCATATAAGAAACAACAGATGAACTTTACTTTTCCTACAGGAAGAAGATTGTGACAGCAAACGACGCGTCTCCATCAACACTAACATATTGCACAACGGTGAACAGTCCAAATGCACAAACGGTGAGTTAAAAGTTCAAAATCTGACGGTATTTTTATTTCTAAGTAATCTCCGAGCGTTACCCTGCTGTTTACCACATTAAATAATGCACTCTGACTGTGAGAAAAATAGATTCGCTTTTTTAATTAAGTGTTGACTTGTTAAAACGTGAGCGAGGGCAGCGTCTGACAGATTTACAGGTCAATACAAAAATAAGCTGAACAGACCTCAGATTCGCCGTCGCTCACTGCAGATTCGATTTTCAGGATCATGATCATTTCTGAGCCACTAATGCATATTAGATTTCATTATGGGGTCAGTTTTGATGCCTCTATCCGTGCAAAAACTCACAATCTAGTCTTTTTTCTTAGTGTTTTTCTCTGTGTGGCCAGAAGAGAGCGCCAACACACACACACTCACACACACACACCTACGCACACACACACACACACACAATGACAGACCTGCTCTGCACTGAACATGACTTTAGCAGTTAGCGTGAATGAAGCCCACAATGCATCTGTGGTGTGGGGCTCTACAGGAGTCTGCAGCTGCCGAAGGGGTTTTTCGTTTTCTTCGTCCGCTGCTTGTTTGGTCGCAGGTTTACGATCTCTCTGCCATTCAAATCGCTGTTGTTCTGGTTTGGATGACCGCTGCCTGTTGTGTTGAAGACGCCTGACAAAAAAGGAGGACAACAATCAGCATCCAGATAAAGGTAGAGTTCATTTATTTAGTAGACTTCACTCCAAGATAACTCATTCACTTATTTTCCTTCAGCTTAGTCCCTTTATTCTTCAGGGGTCGCCACAGCAGAATGAACCGCCAACTATTCCAGCATATGTTTTACACAGTGAATGCACTTCCAACTGCAACCCAATACTGGGAAACATCCATACACACTCACATTCACACACACATACACTACGGACAATTAATCCGTAAATTCATCAATTCCCCTATAGCGCATGTGTTTGGACTGTGGGGGAAACCGGAGCACCCGGAGGAAACCCACACCAACACGGGGAGAACATGCAAACTCCACACTGAAACGCCAACTGACCCAGCCAAGACTCAAACCAGCGACCTTCTTGCTGTGAGGCCACAGTGCTGACCATTGAGTCACCATGTCGCCCACACCAAAGAATTATATATTAATAAATACATCAACTAATACAACCTTGCTGTAAAGTATAAACTAATTTTAGCCGACACAAAACTAATGTTTTAACTTCAGAAGAGTTTGGAAATCAAATTATTTTTTTAAAGATTTATTTTTGCCCTTTTTGCCTTTATTAAGTGGACAGAACAGTATTTTAGACAGGAAATTATATGGGAGAGAGAGAGGGGGTAGGGACGGGAAATGTCCTCGAGCCGGGATTCGAACTCGGGACGCCCTGAATATTGTGCCAACAGAAATCAACATTTGGTGGAAAAACCCTGATTTCCAAATGCAAACGACATCTAAACTGTCATTTTTAGATTAACAAACGTTTTCCATAGCTATAATTATATTTGGCGATTTGATTAAATATTTCTGATTATTATGAAATTATTACAATAGTCCTATATTATTTCGAGATTCATTAATACAAGTACAAAAAAACACATTTGACCTATTTTAAAAACACTATTTCAAGCTGACATTTTTGGTAACATTATAAATGCGTTTAATCAGTTTAATGTCTAGATAAATTAGGGATGCAACGATTATAGAATTTGGTTGCTGCTTAGTAACCAAATAATACGGCACAAAAATTAATAAAAAACTAGCAATGGTCAATTTCTGTTTGGACTTAAAAATTTAATCATAAGTAATAATTTTACACTGAAAATTAAACGACAGAACAATGAAAAAATAAATAAATAAAAATAAAATAATAAGAAAAATAAATTTAAACAATTGTGTTTGTCTAACTGGAGCCGCGAGACCCGACCAGATTTCCTGCGGCGCGTGAATAAATTTCAGAATAAAGTGCGGGAGCGGTCGTTAACTGGTGTAATTTGAACGAGCGGTCTAACAATATCGCTCCCGACTCCAGAGCGAGCGAGCACGCTCATGTATGTGTGTGAATGAGAAAGCGTGATGCTGTGTTTAGCTTGTTTGTTGCTGTCTATGTGTGTGTGTATGTGTGTGAATTAGAGAGCTTGGTGCTGTCTATGTGTGTGTGTGTATGTGTGTGAATGAGAGAGAGCGTGATACAGTCTGTGTGTCACTTGCTTCGTGCTGTGTGTCTATGTGTGTGTGTTTATACAGGCAGCTTGTTATAAGCTGTCTGGACTCTGTATAGCTGGGTGGTTTTCGGTTTTGTCCCAACCTGTTCTTTCAACTAGGTGCGCCTGGAAAGCGTGCGTGAGCGCATCGTGCCCTTGGCGCAACTCTTCCAATATGTGCATGCAAGCCACGCATCTCCATTTGAAAATAACAATATTGCACATGCAAAAGATGCGATATGTGAACGGCCCTTAGTTAATAACCTCAGCCAAAGTTGCGTGGGTGTTAGCCTCAGTGTACAAGCTTGGAACTTCAAACTAGCGCACAGTTGGCATAACTTTGTATAGTTGCTGCAGCTTTGTTCCGTGCAGAAAAGCAATGTTGAGATGCCTTTACAATTAACTAGCCGTGACGAATTACAGCGCGGTTAATCGTTGCATTCCTAAGCTAAATAATGTATGCATTTCTTTTAAAGATGTAAACTGTGCTAAATATGATGTCTTACCTATTTTATTGCTGGATGTGTGAATGATGTCCGTCTCCTCCGCTGACTGCTGCTTGAGTCGCTGCAGATATTTGTCAGCTAGATACTTAAAAACTGCAAGATTAAAAAAACAGAAATGCTGATTAACATTAAAGCTCAATGGTGTTATGACGGTCAAAACTGCCTCGCTCACCTTCATTGACATTCAGATCCTCCTTCACTGACGTCCGGTAGAATCTCAACTTCAGCCTTTTAGCAAGACCTTCAGCCTCTTCACTGAGGAAACACCACACACTTTTCACTGACCGGATCTTTTTTGTCTACATCGCTGTGGTGTAAATGCAGCCTAAATTCTTGCTTACTTCTTGATGACGGTGTCGTCCAGCAGGTCGATTTTGTTCTGCACCAGGACAGTGGGAATGTCGCCCACCTCCATCTCCACCTTCTCCTTCCAGCTGCTGATGGCCTCGAATGACTCTCTGTCGGTGGTGGAGAAAACCAGCACACAGGCCTGAGCTCCTGCACACCAAACACACACTTGTCAGAATTACAGCAGAACACACACCTGAAAAGAAGCGTAACCTAAATTCCATGACTTTTCGGCAAATGTTCCTGACATAATGTTTCGTGTAATGTCTATACATATTAAATAAGAAAATTATGTTTTTTTTTATAAAGCATATCAGGGTTTTTGGATTTCTTTTTTTAGACCTTTTTAAGGCCGTCAAGAATTAAATTTCAGACTTGTATAGGGCTAAACTAAACAATTAGTTATTTCTTTGCCACATATTTTAAATAATGTGTCAAATTAAGCAGACCATAGTTGTATACATGCAAAACTTTTCAACATAACTTAAGAAACACCTTTAAAACTTTTCTAAACTAAATGTATGCACAACAGACTGTTATAATATTTGTTATAAATAGAGTTTTAACAGAGTTTTATTGAGATGTATTGTTGGTGATTGGATGTGGGATTGGGTAGCTTTAAATGGGAAAAATAAAAATTAAGACATGTTTAAAACGATTTAAGAACCACAAGACAATATTTCTGTGAATTTGGGAATTTTTAAGGCCTTGAAATGCAAAACACTTTAAGACAGGGGTGTCAAACTCAATTCCTGGAGGGCCGAAGCCCTGCACAGTTTAGTTCCAACCCTGCTCCAACACACTTACCTGTCGGTTTCAAACAAGCCTGAAGGACTCAGTTAGTTTGATCAGGTGTGTTTAATTAGGGTTGGAACTAAACTGTGCAGAGCTGCGGCCCTCCAGGAACTGAGTTTGACACCTGTGCTTTAAGACTTTTTAACTCTGTGGACACCCTGCCATATACACAACCTGACAAAGGTTTTGTCACTTATCCAAGTTTTAGGAACAGCAAATCATAACTTGACTTCTAGTTGATGATTTGGTATCTGAAGTGTCTCTATGAAAGGTGAAGGCCTCTAGATTTTGCCTAATTGAGCACAATAAAATCTGATCATGTCTTGATGTTGACTGATTTGATGAGGACAGTGCAGTCTGACTCTGCTTAGACTAAAGTCTCATCGCTGAACAGATATAATGTCCAGTATAGAATATAAAGTCCTGCTGCAGTGGAGACAGAATGAATATTGTGTCTGACTCCATCATGAGCTTGGAGGACTGCATCTATACATCTCTGACACGACTCAAATCACTGATTAATAAAGTCATCTGGAATGGCAAAGAAAGCCTTCAGCAGGACTCCCTGAGTTCATCAAGAGTCTTTGTGTTCATCTTTAACGCCTCCTCCTTCATCTTACCCCAGACATGCTCAATAATGTTCATGTCTGGTGACTGGACTGGCCAATCCTGGAGCACCTTGACCTACTTTGCTACTTTCCTAATCCCAAAATAATATAATAATACTGAAAACAAATGATAGAACTAAATGCCTGGTAAAATTCATATGATTTATATTGAAAAACAAAAGTCAAGTATAGATAATTGTTAAACAAATTCCCAAAACTGTGGGTTTATTTGTTTTTCCAGAACTTCTCCAGGCCTTGCATATTAGAATTCCATGACTTTTCCAGATTTTTCTATTCTGTATGAACCCTGTGTTGTTACACACTGACCTCTGTAATAAGCTTTAGTGATGGCATCAAACTCCTCCTGCCCCGCCGTGTCCCACAACATCAGTCTGACGTCCTCGCCGTTCACTCTGAAACACACACAAATTACTCCACATTAATATATTGTATATATCGGCTGCTCAGTGATTTAATGTCAGCTTTCAGGTCTAAAAATCTTTAAAAGAGCACAATTAACTGTTGAAAATATAAACACAGCTTTAGGGTTAAGGGTTAATTTCATAAAATGTGTTGTTTGTACACCAAGTAAAGTAAAACTAAAGCAAAAACTAAACAGCTTTAACAGTTTACTGAAATCACTAAAATTAAAGACAATTTAGAAACTATACTGACATAATAACAAATGACAAACTAAATTTCAACTTTAAAATTGAAAATATGAAAATAAAGCATGATATTCTGAAATCGCTGAAATAGAAGTAGATTACAAAAACTATACTGTCATTATTATTAATACTAATAATTATAATGACAAAAACATAAAATGTCAAAAAAAGAATAAACATGATGTACTGAAATCCCTAGAATAGAAATAAAACTTGGAAAAACTATACTTTCATATTTAAAAAAAATAATAATAAAATGACAAACTAAATTGCAACATTAAAAATTTGATGAAATTGACAATATAACCATAGAACATGATGTACTGAAATCAGAAAAATAAAATTTGAGAAACGCTACAATGACATAATTTAAAAATAATAATAAAACGATGAACAAAGTTAAAACTTTGAAATTTAAATGAAAAGTTAAAATAAATGAATGAAATGTGACTTACTGAAATCTAAAATAACATTTAGAAAAACGATATTAACATTAATAATAACCAAAACAATTACAAAAAATATAAAATGATTACAAACTTTTACATTTACATGAAACTGAAAATACAAAAATTAAACAATGTACTCACAAATCACAAAATAAAAACTAAATTTAGAAAAACTATACGGACATATTTAAAAATATATATAATAAAAAATGAGAAAAGCTAAATTACTACAACTTTAAAAATGTACATGATAACTCAAAATACAAAGTCAAGTGTTGTGTACCTAAATCTTTAAAATACAAGATAATTTAGAAAAAATATACTTTACATTTATACATTTTTTATATATTTATTATTATTATTATTATTATTATTAAAACAAAACTAGCATAACTTCGATGTACACAAAAACTGTTTACATTTTACCCAACTCAAATTAAGTGTCACTATTAAAAACTACAACCGTATTTGAATGTCACTAAACACAAATCCTGTTTTACACAGAGACAATTAAAATACAAATAAACTGTCAATAATATTAGATGGTACACTGGTCTTTAAATTTGAGAACAGAAAATGAAACATCTTTCTATATCTGTGGGAACTGTTCCTTTAACACAATATTTGCACTGGGCTGAAATGTACTGTAAACACAACAACTCCCTAAAACAACTGGCTGAAACTGAAATAAAGACAGTCAAGCATCTGCAATTCAGAGCAGCTTTCATTCTTCGTTTTACTCATTGTTCCTCGTTTCGTTTTATGCAAAAACAGAAAAACACACTGATTTTCTCCAGCATTTCCTGGTGCCGAGTCACGATACAGTATCTGGGAATGAATTGATCATAACTGCACTGCAGAGAAAGAGGATCTGCTGTTCCTCAGGGTTTTCCTGATGTTATTATTCATATGCTTTAAATAAATGCAAACCGGATCCTTTATTGTCCTGAAGTGTTGCATTATCTCTCCAGGCCATTTAAAGAAGATCTATTCTGCTCCTTTTTACAAGATGTAAAATAAGTATCTGATGAGTGTGTAGTGAAGTTTCGGCTCAAAATACCACACTGATAATGTCTTATAACTCTCTGAAACTGACCTTTTTTGGCTTTGAGCCTAGTTATGTAGCATTTTGGTGACTGTCGCTTTAAAAGCAAATGAGATTGTGCTCTTTTCAGCAGGGGGCGGGGTTATAAATGCCAATGTGTCAGTATAGCGACAGATTTTTTACTTAATTACTTAATTTTTGGAGGGTAAATAACCCTCCAAAAAAGTATTATTTAAAATATACCTGTGTGTCACTAACTAAACATGCTGTTTAAATGAGAATTCTTCATCAAAGTGTACATCAAACATGTGTCCAACTCTAGTAGTTCAAAAATAATACTGCTTCCATGACCATTATGTGGACTTTGGAATATGTAAATTGTTATTGTGATTGTCTTTTTGGTCATTTCGCCATTTATTCAAGTATACACACCATATACCTATACTTACTTCATTTACTTTGTTTACTTCATTTATCATATACTGGTCATATGGTGATGTTTAAATATACCCATCACATTCACGTCTATACTTTATATAACTACTCGCCATATACTGCTCATATACTTCCAATAGTTCTGGAATATTCCAAACACATGCTTGTATTAACCAATATCTAAAGCAACTGGATTTTTTCTCCATGTAAAAATAGCTTAAAAACTGAGCAACTAAGAAAAGCAGAGTTAAAAGAACACTCTATGGCTGCACAATTTTGGAAAAAATTTGACATTGTTTCCCTGTTTATTTTTCCCCCAATTTCTGTTTAACGGAGAGCAGATTTTTGTCAGCACATTTCTAATCATAATAGTTTTAATAACTCATCTCTAATAACTGATTTCTTTTAGTCTTTAGTCTTTAGTCAACTTTATTGTCAATCAAAACCATGCAACAGTACATTACACAGCAGACTGAAATTGCGTTTCTCCCATACTCCAATGTGCAATTTAAAAACAAAAAATATGACACACACTAGACATAAACTAAACATTTAACTAATATAGTACAAGATAAATTAAATAATAGACACTAATAAACTGTGAACAGTTACCATATATCCTATTGTTCCAGAAATAAACACAGTGGAGCAAATATTAAAGTAAAATAAACTGTGCTTTACAGTTTTCTACAGAAAGTCTAACACAACTCAACTACAGAAATTGAATAATCAAATGTATAGTTTTCATCATTTAAATTGTTTGATAAAATAAATCCTAAATAAACTTTATGCTCTATTAAAATGCACTGAATTCTCATAAAATGCTTACATAGTCACAGGCCTTAAAAACAAATGCATACCAATAACTTACAATCTATTATGCTTAAATTCTGCACAAATCTCATGACTTGTGGCCAAATCCCAACTCAATCCCAATCCAACATTGCATATCTTGCGATGTTACAATTGCAGACACACACATTGTGATATCAATGCTCAAACAATATTGTGCAGCTCTAGAACACTCCAATTTTTCTTTCTTAAAAGACTCCTTTTTACAGCTCTCCTAGAGTTTAACAGGTGTTTCCATTCAGCCAGTCTGGCAGGAGCATTTTAACTTAGCTTAGCATAGATCATTAAATCCGATTAGACCATTAGCATCTCACTCAAAAATGACCAAACAATTTGAATTTTTTTTTTTTTTTTTTAAAGCTTGACTCTTCTCTAGTTGACTAAAGACTAACGGAAATACTGCGTAGACCGAAAAGTCTCGTAATTATACTCTCATTCTGACTTTACAACCAAGTTACTTAGCTGGGAACTATTTTCAAGTAATTAAGTAACATCGCTGCGTAATCCCATTCATTGTGCTGCTATAGTCATGATATGACAGCACAATTTCTTGATGCCCCTGAACTATGCTCTCAATCTGGGGTACCCAAACTTGGTTCTAGAGGGCCGGTGTCCTGCAGATTTTAGCTTCAACTTGCCTCAACACACCAGCAGGAATGCTTCTAGAAAGCCTAGTAAGAGTTTGATCAGCTAGCTCAGGAGTGTCTCATAGGACTTAGAACTAAATTTTGTACACCTGCCCTCCAGGACCGAGTTTAGGCACCCCTGGTACAGTCGGAAGAGTAAAATCTCGCTCACATGATCTGCCTCTCCAGAAAGTCCACGCCGATGGTCTTCTTGTAGTCCTTGGTGAAGATGCCCTTGCAGTATCTCTGGATCATGCTGGACTTGCCCACCGCTCCGTTTCCCACCACCACCACCTTGATGGCCACCTCCATGTCCTCCTCCAGCATGACTGCGCTGTGATGACGGCTGCTCTTCACAACTGATGGAGGAACAAAACACCATCACACACACCTCCAATGTGATTAATTGCATCCAAATGAAAGTCTGTTCTGACAATATATATGTGTGAAATGTATGCGTGTATATATAAATGTGTATATATATATAAAAACACACATATGCATGCTTATATTTGTGAAAATATTTATTAATATTTATATATGTATATGATACAAATTATATGTACATTTAAGTATATATATGCAAAAATATATATACTTTTTATGTAAGTATGTGTATTACAATTTTTCTTCAATGCGGTAACCCCTATCACTGTAACTGCGTTGTTAAGTCACATTTATTTATGTAGTGCTTTAAAAAATAGAGACTGTTCCAAAGCAGCTTGACTAATAGTTGAAGCTGCAAACTGCCATCAGTTATGAAATAGATTGGACTCGGCATTAATAAAGCTCTGTAAAAGACTGAAGGTGAAGCAGATCTGCAGTGCTGGAGAAAACAACAGCACAACTCAGAGATTAGATTACGCTACTGAAGCCTCCCACGATTCCCGTGTGTAACTAAATACAGCAGCCAACCCGAGACAGCAACACTACCACCGTCTCCACAGGGCACGCTATACAACATACACACAGCCCTGCCCATTACACATAACACATCCTGAAGCAGTTTTGTCCTTTACAATCAAAACACCTTTAAATTAAACTAAATGTTTTCTAATGTTTCCAAGAAAATTAAAATCAATAAATTAATTATAAAAAAATAAAATTTATATATATATATATATATATATATATATATATATATATATATATATATATATATAAATAATTTAAAAAAAAATTATTTATAAAAAAAAAATTTATAAAAAAAAAAACACCCATAACTGAATAGTCAGGAATGCCAGTTTTATATGAACTAAAAAGACAAAAAAATGTGAAAATATTACAGAAAAAAGTTTTGAACTAATGTAATATATAAGATTCGCTAAAATTGTTAAAAGCCTACCATAAAAAAATTTTTTTTGATTATTTTAATTAAATCTACATTCAAAACAAATTATAATCAATTAACCTTTACTTAATTTATTTTGCAGCGTTAGATTAAACATTGGCTACGTTTGAGATGATATTAACAGATAATAATTGTATTTTATTTAAGATTAGTCAAATTTAATTGTACTAATCTCTTTTTTCCAGTGTTGTGCAATGAAACTGCACTAAAATAATTATTTATTCATATATTTGAGTCTTTATACATCATTAGTGCGAAAAGGAATATAAGTAACTAGCACCATACTGCCCCTAGTGGTCATTTTAACCTACAAACTGCAGTCAAACTACAAAAATGCAGGTTGAAGCAAGTATTTCCAATAAGCCTGTGCAGGGCTCAACATTAAGGACTGCCTGATGGCCCGGGGCCAATTTGAGAGACGCTTGGGACAGTAAACGGGATCATTACAGGCCCGATTGAGGCCACCTTTTGTTAAATAAAATTCTAATTAAAATAAAATACCTTCAAATTTTCCATACTGCTCTTTTTTTGTTAACCCATAATTTTGCTCATTATACATATATTAACATTTTAAAATTATTATTTAAATAATAATTTGTAACATTTAAATAATTATAGACATTATTTTTGACACATTATTTAAAATATGTGAATAAAAATTTTTTGGCAGGGCAAGTAAAAATCTGTACCATTGGCCCGATCGGACCAGTAGAACAAATCCGTAACGTTGAACCCTGCTGTGTATTTGGGATTATTCTGAAGTGCGTTAGTAAAGCTGCTGAGCACAAAAGCTGAATGCGAGTGTTTGTTTGTTGTTTAACAGGTGTTTCTGAAGGACTGTTTTACTGCAGTCACACTGACATCCACGTCACCAGGAGACTCTGAGTCACATACAAAACCCAGGAGAAGAAACAAACACTAGCGTCTTCATTATTAGCCCTATACATTTGCAAACATTCCCCAAGTGCTGTTTAACACAGATTTTTTTTCAACACGGCTTTAAGCACGGTCATTTTAATAAAGGAGTTCTTTTGTCTTTGTCATGTTGACAGTGCATAATACTTTAGTTATTTTGCAAGAGACTTGTATTCAGCTTAAAGTGACATTTTAAGGCTAATTAGGGTAATTATGTTAAAATAAATCTAAATAGCGATAATAATATTGACCATAGCAGTTGACTTCTTATTTATATATATATATATATATATATATATATATATATATATATATATATATTTTTTTTTTTTTTTAAGAATTTTTAATTTATTTAATAATTTATTTTAAATTCATTTATTTAAAAAAATGTATTTATATATTTTCATTTATTTAAATTTTTTACATTTAATTTTTTTATTTTAATTTATTAAAATTTATATTAATTTATTTAAATTATATTCATTTGTTTCTTTTAATTATTTAAATTTTATTTATTAAAAATTAATAATTTTTTTTTTACATTTATTTATTTATATTTTATTTATTGACATTTATATTTAGTGTAAAATTATTACTTATGCTTAAATGCCAACCTTTTTTCATTTATTTTAAAGTCCAAAGAGAAATGGACTATTGTTTGTTTTTTATTATTTTGTGTCATATTATTTGGTTACTGAGCAGCAATAAACAACACTTAAAAATATAAGGAGTTTTTATGTGATTTTTCTAAACTAGCAGTGTCTTCAAATTAATGAAGGCATAATAATCGTGATAACCGTGATTATTCCTCAGACTATAATCGCACAACCAAAATCTATAATCGTTGCATCCCTATTCACGAAACAACGGTTAATACAGTCAACTGGAGCACTCATTAATTAAATATAATGCAAATGCTATTAATACATACTGTGGGTCAAAAACACAGTACTTACTGTTGATTACTGTAGTTAATTACTGTAGTATTTTTCAGTCTGAAATTACATGCAAGTATGACTTCAACATTTGACTTTGAACAATGTTGCACTTTGATAGTCATTAGCCCCTTTCACACATACAGACCTTTCCGGAAAATTTCCGTAACGTCCTCGCCTGTGTGAACAGCGCTTTTTTGAAAATACCGGTAAAGTCGTTCCGGAAATTTTCCAGATATTTACCGGTATCACTGTGTGAAAGGGGCTACTGGCTGCTAATATGATTTATCTATTTACAATTTACATGAAAGTTTATTAAAGAGAGATTCGGAATGTGTGAATATAAAACCAACAACTATAAATTACCTCAAAAACACTTCAGTATGATGAGGCGTTCATTACCAAGTGTTACAAATACAATATGCGTTACTGTAATATTGCTTAAAAACACCATAGCATTTACTGTTAATTACTGTAGTAATTAGTAACTGTAGTTATTACTAGAGTATGCTGGATTTATTAACACAATGTGAAAAAAAATTATGTATACTACAGTATTTACAGTTTATCAGTTAACAAATTAATAGTTAATACTACAGTAAACTAAAGCATTCGTTAACTAAATGTAATGTAAATACTATTAACACATACTGTTTAATGGTATAGTTCAAAAACACTACAGTACTGCTAATTACTGTTAATTACTGTAGTATTTTATCGGTCTGAAATTACATGCAAGTATGACTTCAACATTAGCTTTGATAGTCATTGGCTGCTAATATAATGATTTTCCTATTCACAATTCATATGCAATTATATCAAGCAGAAACTCTGAATGTGTGAATATAAAACCAACTATAAGTTACCTCAAAACACTTCAGTATGATGTGGCGTTCATTACAGAGTGTTGCAAATACACGTTACTATGGTGTCTTTCAGAAACACCATAGTATTTACAGTAAATTACTGTGGTATTTTATGTTACAGTGATGTTGCTGAATGTTTATACACCATTTTTTCTGTCGTGTTCGTGACATGAGCTGTGTGTTTGACTGGCGGTTCTCACCTGTGTTAGTGTTTCCAGGTTACGTTGTTTCATCTTGAATATCGACAGGAGAATATTAATTACGAAAACCAGATGATGATCAGCAGAGCCTGCAGTTTATGAGAGCGAGAAATCCAGAAACCGCTGTTCAGCGGAGGAGCGGCGGCGGCCTCCTCCTCCGTCCGTTTCTCTCCGTCTTAGAGCCGCTACAGACCGGTAATTCACCGTTAAATGGGCTCCGGGATATGGATGTGCTGGGATGAACGGAGACAGTGTCCGGTTGTCGGTTGGCGGGCCGTTAAACGGTGCGGCGGCTGCGGGAAGCGGGAGACTCTGGCATATCGATACGTCGACCACCACTAGAGAACTTTCAAAATACAAGCCCCCTTCCGTTAGTCCACACACTCTTAAAGAGACAGTACACCGAACACAAATATATCTACTTCACTGTTTACTCTCTCCCAGGTGGTTTAACACCTTCATGCGTTTCTTTTTTTCCGTTGAACACAAAATACAATATTTGGAAAGTTGTTAGAAAAATGTAAACCCAAAAACTCAACCTCACTATGTATTATCTAGACACTATTGTATACACGTATATTAGGCTATATTGTACACTCTATGTATATCTATTTACTCTCTCCCAGGTGGTTTCACACCTTCCGTTTCTTTTTTCCGTTGAACACAAAATATATTTGGACAGTTGTTAGAAAACTGTAGTGTATACTCAAAAATACACAGAAATGTGTTTTAAAATAAAATACCAAATACTTGAGCTTTAAAGTGTATCAAAATAAACGACAAAATACAGCATTCACTACATGCATCAAAATAAATTACTGTATTTTTGTATTTTAAACATTTTAAATACTTTTAAAAGGATAAAGGGACTAAGCCGAAAAGAAAATGAATGAATAGCTTTAAAAAGGAGCATGAAATTTATTCACAAACCTTCCCCATCATTAGACCTAATCCCTTCACTTAAATGGCTTAAATGGCTTAAATGGTTTAAATGGCTTTTCTTTTGTTAAAAATCTGTAACAACAAACTTTCATTAAGTTTCATAAGGCCTATTATGGAAGTCAGATGTTATCATTTTCAGCATTCTTCAAAATATCTTCTTTTGTGTTTAACAGAAACTCAAACAGTTGGAGGACGAGGAAATTACATTATTTCATTTTAGGATGAGCTATCCTTTTAAAAGAACAATTCATCCTCCTTTTTTTTACAAACCTGTCTAAGAGATGTATTTTGTTTGTTAAAACTTGAATAGCAAAAGACAACATATTATGTTTGTGTTATTGGGAAAGTACCATATACATAATTAAAAGTGAACTCAATATACCAAACCTTTCCCATTTCATAAATACCTTATAATTATATGTAAATATCATTTAAATAATCGAAATGTCTTATTTTTTACTTTCTCTCTGTCAAATATATAAAAAATATTATTATTAAATTATGTGAATATCTAATAGCCCACGTTCAGTATATGTCAATAAAGTATGTAGAAAATACCTAAAATATTAGCACAGCATTAAAAATAAATAAATAAATAAATAAATAACTGAATACTTCCAACATCCATATTTCAGGTCTAATAGACTTTATCTTGACTATAGTAAATGTAAAATCATTTTCAAAAACTTTTTATTAGGCACATCAAAATTGTATGAAGCCTTATTGGACTGTCTTATATACTGTTTTAAATAATGTCAAGGACATCCTTGAAAATGAGATTACAATAACAGTTTCCCTGGTAAAATAAAGGTGTTAATAAATAAAATGAAAATGTATAATGGAACGTAATCAACTGTTTGTGGGAAATTGCATTATACAAAAGCAAATAAATGAATAAATAAATAGTAAACAGGTAACCAAAATAAAATAAAAAATATGCAACGTGAACGCACAGGACTCCATCATGTTGAAATTAAGATGAATGCCAATTCAAGAGACAAACACTATTAAAGCAGCAGCCAAACAAAGGATTTATTGAAATTAAAATCTTACAACTTAATGTGAAACTCCATGGAGACCAAACACCATATACAAACATAACATAAAAATGTGTCTATTACATAAAAAATAGACATATAAATGCAATTTAATACAAGCAGAGTTGAAATGACATACCTGTACGATCACATGTTTATCTGAAAGCAGGTGACTGAAAACAATTGTCAAAGGTATGGATATCAATGAGAATACTTGGTTTGGTTAGTAAGTGCTGAGACTGTCACTACTGCAATGCAAGCTAAATCAGTTTATTTTCCATGTCACCTTATCTGGTCAGTGGAGAGATTTTTATATGTGACCCTGAACCACAAAACACTCATAAGTGTCGACTTTCAGAAACAGTCCCTGAGTGTGTGTGTGTGTGTGTGTTAAGTTTCAGAACACCACACATATAAGGCCCTATCATACACCCGGCGCAATAAGGTGCAAGACGTGTCTGGCGTGATTTCTTGCTATTTTCAGACCAGCACAACTGTAATTTTCACGTTTTGCTTTACATTGTTTAAATAGTTAAGATCCTCAAGCTCAGGGCTCCCTCCGTTTGCAGGGCGAGAGGGGAGTTTGAGCTCTGGTAGATCTAAAGATCTCTCCTGCTGTAGTAGCTAATGAACAGATAGTGATCGCTCTTAAGAGATAACTACTGACACGGAGAACGTCTATGGTGCTGATTTGGAGTAGTTGATTAACTTAAGCTGCATGTTTTTGGATGGTGGGAGGAAACTGGGGAACCCGGGGGAAACACACGTGAACACATGAAGAATGTATAAACTCCACAAACAAACGTCGGCTGGCTTGGTAAGGACTAGAATCAGTGGCGCTCCTGCTGTGACCGTACTAACAACTTGGCCACCGTGCCACCCATCTAAGGAGGAGGAGTAGGGGTGGAAATTTATAGTGGCTCAGGAATCGTCTGATTGGTAAATCATAAATTATATAATGCAGGATCGGCCGCAAGCAGTAAGCATGTGATCCTCTCGACATTAGTTTATAAATAAACTTCACTTAATATTCTAATGATTTTTGACATCTATAATTCTGACTAATAGAATATATCTTTGGATATTGTCTGTGCAAAATAAAGCTGGTTTTGTAGTTCAGGGTCACATATTGTTGATTGCTGTTAAATATTAAGTGCAAATCAGCTTTTTTATCGTGGCATAAAGCTTTAATATTAAAAGCATTTCATATAAAAAATAGAAATATTCTCATAAGTGCTCAAGTTAAAAAAAAGTAGAACTCAAATGTCATTGCATTTTACACTTTGAATGCAACACACATCTTATCATGCGTTCTTAAAACCAAAATATAGTCGCAAATACAGCATCTGCTCAATCTTTGCGCAGAGGAGTTTAGAGAAATGCAGTATGTTGTATTTACAGTGTGATCTTATTTATATTGGACATACGAATATGTTGTCATGCCAAAAAACACTTAACAAATGTACACACACACACACACACACACACTGACATGTTATAATTCAGAAACAGTCACCAAAAAATACACAATTTTCAAGATGGCAGATATTTTGTCCTTAACATAACAGCAAAATTAAGAATCCGCTTGTTAAGTGTGACGTCACGCGAAGCGGCTTCCGGGTACAAGCGCTTTATTCAGCTGAATGGGGAGATTCATGAAATGGTAATAATAAACGTTTACAAAGCGATTTAAGGCTTTCGAAAATTACGATCGCAGTATATATGTCCATGCCTAATATCCGTTGGCCAGAAAGTGATTTATTTTTTATGAATTGTAAAATTTTTGTTTTGCAGAAAGCCCAGAGATTGTTTTGTACACTATGATTTTATATAAAATTAACTTTAATGTGTGACAGGAATAAAACGTGATCATAAACAAATGATTTCTCCACTCAAATGAATGGCGGCTTGGACCCGGAAACAGTATTACATACGTCACAAACACGTCACCACTTAACAAGCGGATAATACTAACATTTATGACTAGATATGTTTTCATAAACACAGGCTCATTGTGAAAACGTAGCCCTGTATACATTTCTGGATATCGAGAATTATGTATCCAGAGGTCTGTATGGCTGCATTTCGTCTTTTTTAAGGAACGCTATGGAGTGGTATGACTTTGTTCCTTTTCATGCTACCAGCTGATCGCTGAATCTCCGTGTTGCAGACTTTCCCATTGTTACCAGTTTGTTCATAGGCTCGCTGTGTGAGTCAGTGGACTTGAGACGCAAAGCGGAGTTGAACGTGATGACGGAGTTCAAGTCTGGCAAAGAACAGTTCCAGAAAGCAGGCAAGAAAAAAACAAAAGCCAAAAATCTAAATAAACAAGTAAATAACAGTGTGAGAATGTGGTAAAACGTGGTAAAAGTCAGGCAAGGGCTTTTCTTTTTCTAGATTGCTTTTGAAAACACTATTGGTTGGGTTTAGGGAAAGAGGAGGGTCTGGCCATCGATCGGTCAGTCAGCTGACAGCGGCCTAATCTGGTGGATTAACGTGAGAACAGCAGGCGCGAATAGCACTCGCAAGAGAAATCTGAGATCTGAAAAAGCATACACAGCAGCCTCTGGTGGATTCGCGAAAACAAAAACAGCAAAAACATGCATCTCCTGGAACGTATTTGGTGCTCTCCAGAAATGTATACAGGGGTACATTTGCAGAATGAGCCAGGGTTGGATTCCATCCACCTATTTTCATGCGCATTTTGGAATATTGCATAAGAAAATGTTTAATGAGAACAGCTATATGCGCATAAATTAAAAAAAAATGTGTATAAAAACATGTGCACAACTAAGTAGGATTAACTTTCATTAGATTTGAAAGAAATGCTCATGAACTATGCTGTGAACGCATTTAATGAAGGGATTCCAGCATGCGCTTCATCGATCTGTGTGATGTGGTTTAGTTTCTGACAGATGCTGATCAGATTTAAATGTGTGTGTGTGAGGGTGTTTGCGTTATTAATGTTGGTTTGCAGCTCTTTTTGTTTCCAGCTTTACATTTTTGCAGATCTGAAATGTTGTTCTGGTCATTTCTAAAATCCCTCAGCAGTCAGTCTGTCATTACAGTGCTTCAGTGTTCTTCTTCTATTATTAATTCCTCCAGAACTGTCTTGAGCATCTGTCTGCGCTCCCATCTCACGCCCCCAAAGCCACCGCATTCACTGTGCTCATTGCGTTTGGTCTTGGTGTTCTGAGGCGCAGCTCATTTATTAGTGGAGAACAAACACCACAGTGGAGAGTCCCAACAGTGCAGCAAACTCCACTTCTCTCAGTGATATCTGTGCACGTTTAGCAAAAACCTGCCGTTTTATTCTCTTCCGTTTCATATTGAATGGAAATGCTGCTTTATATGCAAATTTTTGTATGCAATATACCAGTTTTGCGCATAAATCTATAAATGGAAACAGCTATGTTATGGCAAAGTTATGGCTCAAACATGCACGCGAGTTCATTTCTACACACAATTGATGGCTTTGGTTTGAGATGTGTGTAACCTGCTTTAATCCAGTGTAAACACACGACAGAATCCGTGTTTCTAAATTCACACTGCTTAAAAAGGGATGCTTTTATCAGAGAGCGTGCAAAAATATCAGACGTTTGGTTGATTGATGGAATCTCATAGGCAATGCAAAAATCATTCATTGATTTTCAAAATAAATGTGGTTTCTACCACCTCTTTATGTGTTAAAAAGTGGACAAGATTTTGTTTTTGTGGGCGGATTGTTGATGTGGCTGTGAATCATAATACCGATTTAACATTGTCATGTCTGCATTGCATTATTTGTGTGTAACAGAGTAAAAAGAGCAGCACAAGTATATATATTCATCTAAATGTCACTTTGCATTGCATTGTGGACGCATCTGGATGTTTGTTATCACTGCAAAGCTATTCACAACATGTTATTTCTAAATCACTAATTACAACTAATATTTCTAAATCACAAAAAAAGCTCTTCAGCACGAGTATATCAGGACATTGAATTACATTCGCGTCAAATATGCATGAGTGTGATGCTGCTGCAGTTCACCGAATGGCCATTAGTGGTGCTAAAAACAAGACTTTCAGAATTGTATAGTTCATTAGACTTACAAAAGTGATGAAACATATATAAAAAAGCCTAGAATGTAGCTAGTCAACATATTGTCAAATTGCCCTCGTGTGGTGCGAACAATTGAAATGACTGCATTTCATAGCGCAGTGCTTTCCGCATCTGGTGTGAAAGCAGCTGCTGTCTGAACTGTGACTACAGATTGAAACCTGAACACTTGCTTTTTCAATTTTTGTGCAATAGTTTAAAGGAGTCAAGATTTCTGTGTATCCCTGGTAACAAAATACTAAATAAATGTGTTTTCTACCACCTCAGGATGTGGTAAAATGTGGGCAAGATTGTGTTTTTGTGGGCGGATTGTTGATGTGGTGGATAATTCCGATGCTGACTCAACATCGTCAAGTCTGTCAGCCATTGCCTTCGGAAGACTGCATAATTTTTCACAACACCAATTAGTTATTAAGAGGAAAATAAGCAGAACATATTTACATATTTATCTAAACGTCACTTTCAGCACTGTGGAAGCATCTGGATGTTTGTCATTACTGCAAAGCTGTTATTTCTAAATCACCAAAAAAGCTCTTCAGCGGGAGTGAATCAGGTCATTGAATCGCATTCGCTTTATATATGCATGAGTGTGATGCGGCTGCAGTTCATCGAATGGCCACCGGTGGCGCTAAAAATGTCTGAATTCAATTTACAAAAGTGATGAAGCATAGAATGCAGCCGCTCTTGTGTTTTAGTCAGCGCAGTGACAAACTGCCCTCACGTTGCGCGAACATTTGAAATGGCTGCATTTCATAGCGCAGTGATTTCCGCATCTGCTGTGAAAGCTGCTTCTGTCTAAACAGTGACTACAAATTGAAACCAGCACACTGAACACTGAGTAGCCTTTTTTGAGAAGATTTCTGTGTATCCCTGGTAACAAAAATCTAAACAAACGTGTTTTCTACCACCACTGCATGTGGTAAAATGTGGGCAAGATTGTGTTTTTGTGGGCGGATTGTTGATGTGGTGGATAATTGCGATGCCGACTCAACATCGTCAAGTTCATATTTCGATTTACAAAAGGGATGAAGCATAGAATGTAGCCGCTCTTGTGTTTTAGTCAGCGCAGTGACAAACTGCCCTCGCGTGGTGCGAACAACAGAAATGACGGCATTTCATAGCGCAGTGCTTTCCGTGTCTGCTGTGAAAGCTGCTTCAATCTGTACAGTGACTATAGATGGAGATTATTATAATTATCATACAACCCAAAATCAGAGAAGTTGGCTTGACTGGTACTTGAGTGGCCTGCCTGCAGTCCCGACCTGTCTCCAATAGAGAATGTGTGACAACAAAGACCCTATACTGTTGCCCACATTAAGACTTGTTTGCAAAAATGGGACAAATGAAGTTGGGTCACAACTTTTTCTGATTTGAAGTTGTATTATTACTAAACGAAGTTCACCAAAAGGCCATCGGTGGTGCTAAAAACAAGGCTTTCTGAATCCCACACAACATCCCCAGTGGAACACAGAGTCTAATGCATGAATGATTTTGATTAATTTCTGAAAAGGGTGTAAATGTAGGGTCAGGCCTGCAGTATTGGCGGTCGAGGGCCGTATCCCTCCGGAAAATCTCCGGGGCTCATCTCCAGCAGGCATTTAGGACTGTCGTAGTCTGAGGACTTGCCGAAGCCCCCGGAGCTGTCATATTCCTCTTCAGAAGGCGCAGGTTCCTCCTCTTCTGTGTTCACAAGGGTATCAGTGGTTTTGGAAACTTCATCATGCACAAAATCTAAGAGGGGCTCATTGTTGTAGAGCAGTACTGGTGTGTGTGTTGCAGAAGTCATTGAAGAGACATGGGGAGACTCGGGTTGGGAATAAGGTGTTGAATAGGGTCTCGTCACAATGTTACGCTGCAAATGGAGAAGAGATGTTCAGTAATAAAATATATAAAATATAAAACAAAATTAGAGCTTCACAATTAATCGTTAAAAGATCGCAATCTCGATTCGGCCCCCTGGAGAATCTTAATCCAGCATTTCTATGATTCTGCCAATCATATTTTCAAGTTCGGGAGAGAAGAAAAGGCGGCTGCACGAGTCTGTTTATTGTATCACACACATTGCTCAGTGACACTGACACCTCCAAATGATGTTGAGTGAGTCACATACTGTATTTATAAGGTATAATTCAACTAAAAATGTCATTTTTGACTTCATATAATGATGTTTTCGCGGTCAGGAAATCACACGTGACGTGAGCTGCTGGCCGTGAGCTGTTATCACAAAGAGGGCGCCTACTTTAGTGAACTGAACCTGCATATGTTGCGAGTAACAGGTAATACAGTTGTAAATAATGTTGTTTGTGGCACAGAGTGATCGTTTGGGAGCCGCGCAAAGTATGAACAAGCACTTGGCAGTCAAAATGAAAGTGTGCACTTCATTTAAATGATCATATTGCATTTCAGAGTTATGATTACGTCAAGCATTTGAAATGTTTTTTTTTCTTTCATAGCGAACCCACAGTTTTGCATGAAAATAATTGTTTACAATGTCAGTATAACTACTCTAGCCTATATATTGTTGTTGAATATAATCTGATAATGGCAAATGTCTGATTTTTATGACAGATTGCAAGCATTTATCTCAAACATAATTCAACATCATAATTATTATAAGTAGAATAGAATTATTTATAAAAACCAGTAGACCACATAATATTATTATCAATGTTGTGCCATATGTTTGTTTTTACCATACTTTTATTTTACATATACAGAATCGTAAGAAAATCCAGATTTTTTTTTTAAGCAATAAAAAAAAAACGCGATTCTTATTTTAGCCAGAATCGTGCAGCTCTAAACAAAATATAAACAAAGTGTGTTAAATTTGCTGGATGCTTTGACTTTATTATTTAGTATTATTCTAGAATTGCAGGTACGTTTTACGTCTCCAGATAAATCGTATTTTTTAAAAATTAAATAACACACTCATACACTACGGCCAATTTAGTCAATCAGTTCCCCTAAAGTGCATGTGTTTGGACTGTGGGGGAAACCGGAGCACCCGGAGGAAACCCACACCAACATGGGGAGAACATGCAAACTCCACACAGAAACGCCAACTAGCCCACCTGGGACTCAAACCAGCAACCTTCTTGCTTTGAGGCGACAGTGCTAACCACTGAGCCACCGAGCCGCCCAATAATGGATTCAGTTTACTTTAAATTATACATTTGTTATATATCATTCTAGTTGAAGTTAAAATGAATGTAAAATGCTTGTAATGTAGCCACAAATCTGGAAAACATCCTTTACATTTGAACAAATGTGGATATTAAGCAAAAACAAAAGTCAAAGGAGACTAAGACATACCAGGATGGAGGGAACTTTGGGTATTTTGGAGAAATTTTTGTGGATGAACCACAGAACGACGAAAACAATGAAGAGCAATGCGATTGATCCACAGAGAATAGCTGCAATCCATTCTGTTTTGGCTAAAAAACAAACACACAAAATTATTAAGAACATCTGAATTAATTCAACTGCTAAACATACTGATATTACATGTTCATTCAGATCTCACTGATAACAGACAGACTGCCACTGCTCAGACAAAACTGACCCAGCCTGGACTCGAACCAGTAACCTTCTTGCTGTGAGATCACAGTGCTAACCAATGAGCCGTCTACAGATCAAATTGGCATTACAAAAAAAACTACTTTAAGACACAACATGTTGAATATTTCCCCTCTGAGCTGAGCTACGATGAGCAATTTATTATGGGACTGGATTCTGCAATTTGTGGCTGAAGCAATACACTATTAGGAGGTAGTTACAATCTAATCTGGGTCAACGATGAAACTCGCCATTTTGGTGTCTGCATCACTTTAGATTTACAAAAATGAGGAAGCATACATAGAAAGCATTTGAACTGCAGTAGATGTCTATTTAATATTGAAAATTAATTCATTAACTCTAGTGAGCTTTGAAGGACAGTGGAGAATTTCAAAGATTTGGGGTCAAACTTTTGATATGTCATCTGATGATTCTTGATCTAAAAACACCTGCTTTTTGAACACAGAAACTAATGTTGCATCACATTTTAGTGGGGCCTTCGGGTAATTGTGGTGAAAAATAGGTTTTTTATATATATTATATTATTTAAATATATAAAATTTATTAAATAATATCTTTGTTCAGAAAACATATACAGTATTAGGGAAAAAAAATGTAATTTTATTGGTTTAATTGAATACCCCTTTTCAATTAATAAATAAATCATAAATCAATACCAGTCAATACCCATATACCCCAGCAGGCACAGGACGTCAACATGACGTAAGACTCATGTTGTACACCAACGCTGTGGGGACGTTGCATTTTGTTTGGAAATGAAAATCGGGTTGACGTCAGAACCCAATGTCAGGCTGACGTTAATGTCCAATGTCCTGTCTAAAATCAATCAAATATCAACGCCTAATGATGTTACAGCTTAACGTTGTGTGGATTTACCACTATGATGTCTATTAGAGGTTGGATTTTGGTTGCCATATCTGACGAATAAATGTCAGTATTTGACATCAATATGGCGTTGGATTTTGGTCACTTTCCAACACAACCTAAAATCAACCAAATATCAATGTCATTTGACGTTGCTATTGGTTGTCAAAATAACCTTGTCCTTAGATGCTGGCTAGATTCAAAATTTTGGTCACCTGACGTCACAACCTAAATCTAACCTAATATTAACATCTTGTGACACTGTGCGCCTGCTGGGACTATACCAATAATTTGAAATATATAATTTAGAGTTAATATATATAAAGAAAAAACTATTAATCAATCAGCATATTAAAATGATTTCTACTTGAATGAGGTAATGATGCAAAAATAAAATAAAAAACATGTACAGGCGACTACGGCCCAATCCCAATTCTACCCCCACCCCTTCACGTTCTTCCAGGAAACATATTCAGTCCAAACAACAAAAACACCCAACGTCCCAGCAGGAATAATACTTTATTCCTGGCACAGCAATTACTCTTCATCTCTAAAGACATGTCATAAATCAATTTATTCTCCGTTGTCTAGCGCAGTTGTCTGAAAGCATTGTGGATCTTCTGCAGAGCACTCATTCAATCCCACTACATCAGAGTTTAACACAGTCTACACTTTACAGAAAGACAGATGTATTACTGCACTACTAAATTAACTTATCTAAAATCAAAGTCTAAATGGTTTGTAGTTACCTGAGGCAGGCTCCAGCTGAGGCACAGACACATTTTTATAGGTGTGTACAGGTATAGATGCGATTTTCCCCTCAAACTTCAGCACCACCCACTGAACGACCACAGACTGGTTCACGTGGACTTTTGTTTCGCACAAATACCCAAGCTCATCCTCAAAGCATGAGTGCGAGGACTTTTCCTGGAGATGAGGAACAGAGGATGAGGATGGGTTAAGGATGATGGTGTATTCGAATTCCTCCTCCAGGCTGGCCCGCTCATAAAATGCTGAAGGATGCTTGAAGGAAACCTCGATCACATCTTTGTGCACAGACGCATCCACAGCTGGAAAATCCAGAGTGCCTGAAGAACAACACATGCCAATATTACTTAAAGACACACTCACTCACTTTCATTCAGCTTAATCCCTGCTATATACGGGACTCTAGGCTTGTTTTTAACAGCAGATGGCGCTCTAGGCCAGTTTTTCAACAACCGATAGCGCTCTAGGCTAGTTTTTAACAGTAGATGGCGCTCTAGGCTAGTTTTAACAGTAGATGGCGCTCTAGGTTAGTTTTTAACAGCAGATGGCACTCTAGGCTAGTTTTAACAGTAGATGGCGCTCTAGGCTACTTTTTAACAGTAGATAGTGCTCTAGGTTAGTTTTAACAACAGATGGCGCTCTGGGCTAGTTTTTAACAGCAGATGGCGCTCTAGGCTAGTTTTTACAGCAGATGGCGCTCTAGGCTAGTTTTAACAGTAGATGGCCCTCTAGGATAGTTTAACAGTAGATGACGCTCTAGGCTAGTTTTTAACAGCAGATGGCACTCTAGGTTAGTTTTAACAGTAGATGGCGCTCTAGGCTTTTTAACAGTAGATGGCGCTCTAGGCTAGTTTTTAAGAGCAGATGGCGCTCTAGGCTAGTTTTTAACAGTAGATGGCGCTCTAGGCTAGTTTTAACAGTAGATGGCGCTCTAGGTTAGTTTTTAACAGCAGATGGCACTCTAGGCTAGTTTTAACAGTAGATGGCGCTCTAGGCTACTTTTTAACAGTAGATAGTGCTCTAGGTTAGTTTTAACAACAGATGGCGCTCTGGGCTAGTTTTTAACAGCAGATGGCGCTCTAGGCTAGTTTTTACAGCAGATGGCGCTCTAGGCTAGTTTTAACAGTAGATGGCCCTCTAGGATAGTTTAACAGTAGATGACGCTCTAGGCTAGTTTTTAACAGCAGATGGCACTCTAGGTTAGTTTTAACAGTAGATGGCGCTTTAGGCTTTTTAACAGTAGATGGCGCTCTAGGCTAGTTTTTAAGAGCAGATGGCGCTCTAGGCTAGTTTTAACAGCAGATGGCGCTCTAGGCTAGTTTTACCAGTAGATGGCCCTCTAGGATAGTTTTTAACAGTAGATGATGCTCTAGGCTAGTATTAAAAACAGATAGCGCTCTAGGCTAGTTTTTAACAGCAGATGGCGCTCTAGGCTAGTTTTAACAGTAGATGGCGCTCCAGGCTTTTTAACAGTAGATGACGCTCTAGGCTAGTTTTAACAACAGATAGCGTTCTAGGGTAGTTTTTAACAGTAGATGGCGCTCTAGGCTAGTTTTTAACAGCAGATGGCGCTCTAGGATAGTTTTTAACAGTAGATGATGCTCTAGGCTAGTTTTAACAACAGATGGCGCTCTAGGCTAGTTTTTAACAGTAGATGGCGCTCTAGGCTAGTTTTTAACAGCAGATGGCGCTCTAGACTAGTTTTTAACAGCAGATGGCGCTCTAGGTTATTTTTGGACAGGAGACGACGCTCTAGGTTAGTTTTTAACAGCAGATTAACAGCGCTCTAGACTAGTTTTTAACAGCAGATTAACAGCGCTCTAGACTAGTTTTTAACAGCAGATGACGTTCTGTTATTTTTTGACAGCAGATGGCGCTCTAGGTTATTGGAAATACTGTGAAAAATTCCTGAATCTGTTAAACATCATAATCATATTTATCCCTGTATATGATGAAGTTACACTCTGAGAGCTTACACTTGTGGGTTTTCTCATTGTAAAAATCTGTGCTGTAAGTGAATTCAACAGAGAGGCTTTCAGAAATCTCCTGTCCAACATCTGCCGTCACCGACACCACATAATGATCAATGGCTTCACTGCTGTAGCTGCTGATATCCAGGTGCGTCTGAGAGGTTTTCACCGTCTGAGGTTTACTACACACAATGGAGACACAACAGAGTGATTAGGAGAAGACATGTTTCACGAATGAAAGGTTTATGATCTTAAAACCAGCTACCTTTCATAGGGAATGAGGTTTACAGTGAACGTGGGCTGCTGGACTGCACTGCTGTAGTTCCAGTAAAGGACGTTCTTGAAGTTGTGACAGACAACACTGAGGTTTGCTGGAGGAGGAACTGCGGAAGAAAAAATATGCTGGTTAGATTCAGTTTTAGTCACTATAATTGCCTTATTATTACACTGCAGAAGTAAGGGTCCTCTTTTTCATTTTCCAGTAGAAATGTCTGCTTAATGATGCTTCATAACCATTCTTAAATCCTGACTCATTTACTTGAGAAGTCTTGTTTTCTGTTCACTGTGAACAAAAGTGAGATTTCGCTTAAAGTGATGTTAACCACCCCAAAAAATGCATGTGCTCTCTATTTACTCACACTCATGTGGATGTACACTTTAATACATTTCTATCTTCTGTTCAACAAAAAACAAGATTTTATGAAGAATGTTGGAAAAATGAGACTTGTGCACACAAGGTCACACTTTATCATATCAGACGGCAATTTTACTTTTGAAAATTGTATCTCCCATGTCACAAAAACTGCCTTCTTTCATCTGAGAAATATCGTTATGTTACAAAGTATGCTATCCATCTCAGATGCAGAAAGCTAGTCCATGCTTTTATGACTTTTATGCTGGATTAGTGTAATGCTCTGTTTTTAACAGGAGATGGCGCTCTAGGCTAGTTTTTAACAGCAGATGGCGCTCTAGGCTTTTTAACAGTAGATGGCGCTCTAGGCTTTTTAACAGTAGATGGCGCTCTAGGCTTGTTTTTAACAGTAGATGTAGCTCTAGGCCAGTTTTTAACAGTATATGGCGCTCTAGGCTTGTTTTAAACATTAGATGGTGCTCTAGGCTAGTTTTTAACAGCAGATGGTGCTCTACACTTGTTTTTAACAGTAGATGGCGCTCTAGGTTAGTTTTTTGAAAATTAGACAGTGTTATAGGTTAGTTTTTAACAGTAGCTGGTGCTCTAGGCTAGTTTTTAACAGCAGATGCTGCTCTAGGGTTGTTTTTAACAGCAGATGGCGCCCTAAGTTAGTTTTTTAACAGTAGACAGTGTTTTAGGTTAGTTTTTAACAGTAGTTGGCACTCTATGTTAGTTTTTTAACAGTAGACAGTCCTTTAGGTTACTTTTTAACAGTAGATGGCGCTCTAGGCTTGCTACGAAGTATGCTATCCATCTCAGATGCAGAAAGCTAGTCCATGCTTTTATGACTTTTATGCTGGATTACTGTAATGCTCTGTTTGCTGGCTGCCCAGGTCTAGAAAATATGATCATATCACCCCAATTTTATCCTCCTGACACTGGCTGCCTGTTCAGTTTCATATTGATTTAAAAGTATTGCTTCTTACCTATAAAGCTTTAAATAATCGAGCTCCTGTTTATCAAACCAACATCCTGTCTCGCTACAATCCAACTCGCTCTTTAAGATCTCAAAACTCAGGGCTTCTGGTATTACCTAGAATAGCTAAGTCTACTAAAGGAGGTCGAGCCTTCTCATTTATGGCTCCTAAACTCTGGAATAGCCTTCCTGATAATGTCCGAGGCTAAGACACACTCTCGCAGTTCAAAACTAGATTAAAGACCGATCTTTTAAGCAAAGCATACACTCAGTGCATCACTTAGTGGTACGATACATGGATGTGCTCCACGCATCTTGTTTACATACACTATGAACAGCAGCTAAGCTAATTATTGTCTTTATTCTCTATTTCCACTTGGGGATACTCATCCCGAGGCTCTCAGAGACTATGCAGCGCCACTGAGTCGATCCAAGACCAGCGACAAGATGATCCCAAGGTTTCCATAATCCTGGACTAGGCCGTATCCTTAGCAGCTGCTGTACTGGTCATGGAGGAGTGGAGAGCCTGAGACTGATTCCTGTGATGCTCCAGGGACAGACGAGTCTTCGCTGACAGCCAGCGTTCACCAACCTCCAACCTCAGACTGCAGCTCTGCTCAAGACGATTGGCCAGTGTAGAAATGGTCTCTCTTGAGGTTTTTTCCTTCACTTTCGCCAATTGGTGAAGTTTTTTCCCCGCCGCTGCCGCCACTGGCTTGCATGGTTCGGGATCTGTAGAGCTGAGCATCGATGGATTTGCTCTTCAGTGTTTGGACTCTCAGTAGTGATTAATAAACCACACTGAAGTGAGCTAAACTGAACCTAAACTCTAAAAACTGAACTACACTGTTTCAGTTTACTATGATCTTCGATGTGTAGCTGCTTTAACATCATCTACAATGTAAAAGCGCTATAGAAATAAAGGTGAATTTAAGTGAATTTAACTTTACAATCAGGTTTGATTAGTTCATGTATTTAGTAACATGAACTAATAGTAAACAATACCAACACAGGTGCATTCTGAAAATGTAGCCCTATATACATTTCTGGAGATCGTGAATTATGTAGCCAGGGGTGTGTATGGCTGCATTTTGTCTTTAAAACAAACGATACGGGGTGGTATGACATTGTTTTTTTTGCGCTACCAGCTGACCGCTTACCCCCAAACTGTTACCAGTTTGCGCAGTAGCTCGTCATGTATGTCATCGAACTTGAAACTAAAGCAAAAAATAAAAAAATAAAGAAGCAAATAACAGAGTGAGAATGAGGTAAAATCTGAAAACGTGGTAAAAATCAGGCAAGGGCTTTTGTATTTCTGGATTGCTTTTGAAAATACTAAACCTTTACTTGCATTAATCCTAAATCTTGACAATTTTTTCCAGCAGTAATCAAGACTCTTGTTAAGTAAATATAGTAGTTTAAGAATCTGTACTATAAAATAAGAAAAAAGAGGAAGAATTTTTTTTTTTTTGCTGTGACAACTCATGACAATACAAATCCTTTCCAAAATTTCATAAGAGCGACTTTTTCATCATTGTTGTTGTTATTATTATGCTTTTCCAAAAAGACTGTTACATATAATATTGACATAATAAGGCTATTGAAAAACAGAGGCTTTTATTTAAAATCAGTTTATTTGAATAAACTCACAGAATTAGCCAGTTATTTGAGATTAATGCGGTCAGTGTGTGCACAGGAAGTAGCTGCATGTGCTTGAAAGGAAGTGCAAGTCTTACGCAATAACACTTGAAACACAATCGAGACATCCCACTGAACACGTAAACTGTTTCTGCATTCATTATAATTATTAATACTGTTATAATCTTTGTCACACATGCACTATTTTTAATATGAATAAACATGTAAATTTGTAAAATAAAACTTAATTAAAAATAAGTTAATTATAAAAAAGGAAAATTATTAATGAAAATAAATCTTAAAAAGTTAATTAAATTAAAAAGAAAAAACATAATTACAAACAAATTAAAGTAAATAAAAAATAAAAAACATAATTTTTAATGAAAATAAAGCTTTACATGTTTTATATAAAATTAAAAATTAAATAAAAAATTGTTTAAGAAAAAAATATATAATTATTAATAAAGACAAATCTTTAAAAAATAATTAAATTAAAATAAAAAAGCAAAATTATTAATGAAAATAAACCTTTATTTTTTATATTAAATTAAAGATTAAATTAAATACAAAATTTGTAAAAGAAAAATTATAATTATTAATAAAAACAAATCTTATAAAAAAATTATTAAATTTAAATAAAAAAGTAAAATTATTAACGAAAATAAAGTTTTAAATTGTTCATTAATAATAATAATTAAAATTTAAATTAGATTAAAAAGAAAAAGCATAATTATTAATAAAAAATAAAGCTTTAAATAGTTTTGTAATTATAAAAAATTCAATATAATAAAAAAATGTAAAAACATTATTATTATTGAAAATGAACCAAAAAAATATATTTGAAAAGAAAACATAATTATTAAAGCTTTAAATTAAAAATGTATTAAATAAAAAAGTGAAAAAGAAGAAAAAACATAATTCTTAATGAAAATAAAGCTTAAAAACAAATAAAAATAAAAAGCATAATTATTAATGACAATAAATCTTTAAATCGTTTTATTAATATATTAAAAATTAAAGTAAATTAAAAACTATTAAAAAAAACAATTATTAGTGAAAATGAACCTAAACATTTAATTAAAAAGAAAAAAGCATATTACAACAATGAAAATAAATCTTTTAATTTTTTAATTATAAATTACAACTTAAATTAAAAAGAAAAAAGTATATTTTTGAAAATAAATCTTTAAAAAAATTAATTAAAAATAAAAAAGCATGAAAATGAAAATCAACCTAAAAAAATCTTGAGACTTGTAAACAGTCTTGAGAAGAGAAGTGAAGTTAGAAAGCAGAAGCTTTTGCCCATTACAGGAAGTTTACAGCTCCTATCCCACACTACTGATGAAGTTTAGTTTTGATTTGATGCAATTCCCAAGCAATATACATAAAGCTGACGCCAAAACCTTTAATTCTTTCAAATATTTCTGTTTATCAGAGATTTTCTCAACACATTTTCAAACACAACAGTTTTTAAATAATATTTATATATTCTAATTCCAGCTAAATTAAAAGATATAAGACTTCCACCAGTAGAGAAATACAATAGGAATGTTTGTTTATTATTCTTTGGCTAAAGATCAGAGTCTGTGTCTTGCCATTGTTGTGGGGAATTTATAAAAGCAACATTTAATTGCATTATAATAAAAGAAGCATTTCACAGAAATCATCCTGCGAGCGGTTGCTTTTATAAGCCTGCGTTTAAAGCAATTGTTTTGGTCTATATTAAGCGTGTCGGTGGCACTGCTGTCGAACACTACTTAAGTTCACACTGATTTCCACTTGTAACCACGTGTGATGAGTGACATTTTCTCACCCGCTCAGATCACAACTGCTGTGGTTTTACTGTGACACAAGTGTGAAAAGTAAACCATACACACATGTACTGTACTTCAACAACAATCTCCGGCCCAAATATTTTCTTTTTGACTATGGGAATGAAGAGGCAAACAAGAGTCGAGAGGGAAAAACAACAGATGAACTTTCAGATATGACAAAAAAACAACAACTGGAGGGAAGTGAAGCCTCCATTAAAGGATTAGAGGAGCACACCCAAAACTGAAAACTCTGTCAGTACTCAATTACTTGTTTGTGGTCGACACAAAAGAATATCTTCTGTTTCTCTCTTGATGCACACATAT